CACCTAAGGAATCCACGATCTTGGCCCCCGGAAAACACTCAGAAACAAAGTCAAATGATCAAATGATCACATACAACATACCCTCAGGGGGAAAAAAAAAAGTTTAAGTCTTATCCAAACAATAGGAAATTCAAAAATAAGAAGCAGCAGCTCCTTCAAGTAAAAAGGAATCAGCCCAAGAACTCCAACACTGCAAAAAGAATGTCTTTACGCCTCCAAAGAATTGCACCAGCTCTATAGCAGTGGATCCTAACCGAGTTGAAAACTTTGAAATGGCAGATTAAAGAAACAAAACATGTATTGCAAGGAAACTCAATGAGATCCAAGAGAAATTTTAAATCTGCTTCAAACCAGAAAAACAATGCAGGATATGAAACATGAGATAGCCATGTTAAGATAAAACCAAATAGAACTTTTGGAATTGAAAAATTCACTAAAAGGAACATCAAAATACACTTGGAAGCAGGCCGGGTGCAGTGGCTCACATGTGTAATTGCAGCACTTTGGGAGGCCGAGGTGGGCGGTTCACCTGAGGTCAAAAGTTCGAGACCAGCTCTGTCAATATGGCAAAACCCTGTGTCTACTAAAAATACAAAAATTAGCTGGGTGTGGTGGCATGCACCTGTAATCCCAGCTTTTCCAGAGGCTGAAGCAGGAGAATCGCTTGAACCCAGGAGGCAGAGGTTACAGTGAGTTGAGATCGCACCACTGTACTGCAGACTGGGCAATAGAGTGAGACTCCATCTCAAAAACACACACACACACACACACACACACACACATACACACACACACAGTTTTAATAATGGACTACACCAAGTGGTAGACAAGATTTCAGAGCTTGAAGACCAGCCTTTCAAATTAACCAAGTTAGCCAAAAATAAAGAATCTGAAAAATGAACAAAGCCTTTGAGAAATGTGGAATTATGTAAAGCAACCAAACCTATGACTTATTGGCATTCTTGATGGAGAAGAGAAAAAAGTAAGCAAATTGGAAAACGTATTTGAAGCAATAATTTAGGAAAATTTTCCTAAGCTTGCTAGAGAGATTGACATCCAAATATAAGAAACTCAGAAAACACCTGCAAGATACAAGATGGCATATAGTCTATCAGACTATGTAAGACTAACACCAAAGAAAACAATCTGAAAAGCATCTAGAGAAAAGGGCTACATTACCTATAAAGGAAATCCAATCAGACTAAGAGAACTTGTTAGCAGAAATCTTACAAGCAAGAAGAGATCAGGGGCCTATGTTTAGTCCCTTTAAAGAAAATAAAAATGCCAGCCAAGAATTTCATATTCTGCCATACTAAGCTTCATAAATGAAAGAGAAATAAAGTCTTTCCCAGGCAAGTAAACACTAAGAGAATCTGTCACCACCAGACCTGCCATACAAGAAATACTCGGAGGAATTCTAAACATGGAAACAAAATAACAATATTTGCTACCATATAAACACACAAAAGTATAAAGCTCAGAGATCTTATAGAGCAATTACACAATTGAGGCTAGAAAGCAACTACCGAACAATGCTCAAATATCGAATTTATAGAAATAAAACCTCAAATATCAATGTTAACCTAGAACATAAATGGCCTAAATGCTTTTCACTTAAAGCATTTAGGTGACATCTGCTGAATTCAAGAAACCCATCTCACATGTAATGACAACCACAGGCTCAAAGTAAAGGAATGGAGAAAGATCTAGCATGCACATGGAAAATAAAAAAATAATAATAAAAAAAAACCCAGATATTGTTATTCTTGTGTGAGGAGAAACAGACATTAAACCAACAACCAGTAAAAAGAGACAAAGGAAGGCATTAAATAATGATAAAGGCTTCCATTCAACCAGAAGATTAACTATCTTAAATAAATATGCACTCAATGTCAGAGCACCCTCTGCATTGTTCATAAAACAAATACTACTAGATCTAAGGAAAAAAAGATAGCTATATAATAATAATGGGGGACTTCAACACCCCACTGACAGCACCAGACAGATCACCAAGGCAGAAAACTAACAAAGGTATACTCTGGACTTAAGTCAGACTCTTGGCCAAATGGAACTGACAGACATCTACAGAATATTCCACTCAACAACACAGAATACACAATTTTCACACCTGTACATGGAACATTCTCTAAACTTGACCACGCAGTCGTAAGTCACATCTCATTAAGACAAAAAAAATCAAAATCATATCAAGCATCTTCTGAGGTCATTAGGAATAAAATTAGAAATCAAGAACAAGAGGAATTCTCAAAACCACACAAACATATGGAAACAACAACATGCACCTGAATTTTGGATAAACAAAATTAATGCAGAAACTAAAAAAAAAAAAAATTCGAAATACGAAAATCGAAACAAAACCACCAAAACCCCTGGGATAGGCACTGTAATGAATATCAGAATTACATGGACCTGAAAGTGAAAGAAATTTCTTAAAGAAAAAACTTCTTGAGATAGTGCCAGCCAGGCACAAGGCTCACGTCTGTAATCCCAGCATTTTGGGAGGTCGAGGTGGGGGAATCACTTGAGGTCAGGAGGTTAAGACCAGCCTGCCCAACATGATGAAAACCCATCTCCTCTAAATAATACAAAAATTACCCAGGTGTGGTGGCAGGTGCCTATAATCCCAGCTACTTGGAAGGCAGAGGCAGGGAGAATCACTCAAACCCAGGAGGCAGAGGTTGCAGTGAGCCAAGATCATGCCACTGCACTCCAGTCAGGGAGACACAGTGAGACACTCAAAAAAAAAAAAAAAAAAAAAAATGTAGAGAGCTTTGGAGGCTCAACCATTCATTTGTGTCTGATGAAGATGGCCCAGAACTGTCTTTGCAGAGAGCAGGATAAAGAGCTGGCATCTCCCATAGGACTCCCTGAGTCCACTTTGGTACAGAAATGGAGCAGTAATGTATCAGTCAATATTGGTTAGGTTCCTTCACTTTCATTAGAGGATTTTAAAACTGTTTGCATGAGTTGATTTTAAAAGTCAATCTATTTGCTTTTAATCAGCAAAATCGCTCTGCTCTCCAAGACCATGCTAGAGAATGACTTCCTGAGTGCCTCCATTTTCTTATCAAAATCAAAGGTTCAGACAGTAACATTTTCAGAGGATGGTACAGCAAAGGATATGTAGTTTATTCATCTCTGTAATTTGTCTACAATTTAACCCTAGACCAAACCAAAACATCATGTATTAAGCTGAATATTTGGACAGTGTTTTTTGTTGTTGTTTTTGTTTTTGACAAGTCCCTCTACTCCTATAAAATTGCTTTTACTGGATTGAGCTTTGTTGTGATGTCCTCTGTGTCTTACCTTCTACTGGTTTTATTGCTGAGATATATTGAGGAAGTTGCCTCAGCCTAGCCCTTCATAAGCCCCATAGGAGAAGAGTTCTTTGGACTTCAACTGCAAGAAAGAGCTTTGACTCTCCTAATTAAATGACATATCCTTATTTTATAGACAAAACCATGCAAGTCTTATGAATACCTGGTCATGTTAATAAATTTAATTCCATTGAAATTATTTTCATTTTCATTTTTACTTTTTAAATCACTTGACATATATTTGAAATAACACTGTAAAAGATTCACTATTAAAGTGCTTTTATTTAATTATACATATTTTCTATGTTTTCTGAAAGATAGACTACACTATGGCCTCTGAGGGTTCTTGCCTCTTTGCAAGAATCAGGTCTTTTTGGAAGTCCCATAGGGGCTAACAGGAAAGCATGGGGCCACTTAGTAAGAGGGTCTTCCAATTTTAATGTAATGTCACTTCAGCTCATCTCCCAGGACCATAACTTTATTGGTTGGCTGCCTTTGATCAACTTGGGTCCTCATGTTTTTCTTTATCAATGATGCTGAAACTGGAAATTTCTAACATCGCTCTGTGACTGCTCTTTGTCTAGCACCCATTCCTGTCCTGTGCCATCTAACTCTAAACTATGCCATCAACTACACAAGCTGCCTCCACTCTGAGCGACATGGCAAACAAAAACAAATGAGTTAAAGGAAAAACAAGCAAGATTCACAAACTTATGACAAAAAGAAATCAATCCTAAAACAGATCATATTTTAACTAGATAACTTCTAGAAATCCAAATAGTATCATATTTGTACTTATGAATTGCATATTTGTACTTAGGAATTTTATTTAGTATGCAAAATATGAAAATGTCATTTATAAATTTCAGGTACACTGAATTCATTAGCACATATATTCTAATGAACATGTTCTCTTTTCTCTGGACACTAACCTTTATAAAAAGCTCCTGTGAAATAGGTAATTCTCAATTACCAGAGTATAAAGCACGGCCTCTTATGATTATTCAAAAACTTCTTTTTAGGCCACAGAGCACATATACACACTTGCCATCAATGTGTGAGTGGAAAGAGAATACATTCTTACATAAGTTCAAAAGAGACATTAATAGAAACACAAATATGCTTCTAAAAACAACTCTCAAGTGAGCTAAATTATTTAAGAATTTTATTTCATACTTTTTAAGTTTCTTCATGAAAATGGTCATTCAAGAGCTACTTCTCAACTTGTTCTATGAAGCCAGTATTACCCTGATGCCAAAGTCAAACAGTACAGAAAAACTACAGAACAATATGCTTTATGAATATTGATGCAAACATCCTCAACAAAATATTAGCAAACTAAATTCAATAGCATCTTTAAAAGATAATACACCATGACTGAGGGGGAGTTATTCCTGGAATGCAAGGGTGGTTAAACATATGAAAATCAATTAATGTAAGATACCATATTAACAGAATGTAGGGAAAAATATGATTATCTTAATGTAGAAAAAGTATTTTACAAATTTCAACACTTTCTCATGACAAAAACACAAAAACTAGGAACAGAAGGAAATTACGTCAACATCATTAAAAGTTGCTTTTATTCAAAACATGTCTAGATTAATCATCTATATCAAGGAAACTGGGCTGATTTTAAAAATTCCCATAAGGAGTACTTACCTGCCAATATTTTCTTGAACTGTCTAAACCATATGTCACAGTGGTCTTCACTTAAATTAATAAGATCAAGTGTAGAATTCTTTAATTTATTTTGTTCCTTTTTCAAGCAAATGAAGAGTGTGATACCTAATAAAGTACCACTTCTCTGCTGTTTAACAGAACAACGCCGTTTCAGTTTCACAGAGAATACGTCTTTGAGTTCAATAAATTCTTCTTTACATAGCCAGTCATGCTTAGAATCACCTGAAAAAAAAATTAAATTTTTCAATTAAAACCATTGTATTCCGTAGAAAGGAACAACAGATACTGGGACCTACCAGAGGGTAGAAAGTGGGTGAAGGGAAAGGATCAGGAAAAATAACTAATGGGTACCAGACTTAACACCTGCTTGATAAAATAGTCTGTACAACAAACCCACATGACACAAATTTACCTGTATAAGAAACCTGCACATGTAACCCTGAACCTACAAGTTAAAAAATAAAATGAACTACTGCTAAGGAAAAAAAAAATGTCTATATCTTAAGTGTATGAATAATAGTTAAAACCAAAAAATACCTTTATCATTTGTAATTTTATGGATTGCCCTTTATGCCAGTCCCTACGAGATGGAAAGGGAAAGAAAATATAAATTGGGTTTGTCAAGAATTAGATTAAAAACGGAAAAAACAGAAGAGAGTCCCTGCTACACAGGCCTACAACATTCAACATCTGAGGACAGTCAATGTATGAAGAATTCCACTAACACAAACAGAGCAACATTTTAGTAATAAATTGGTATCACATGAGGAGCTTCTTGGTACTAAGCATAAAGTAAAGAAACAGAAAAAAAAATAGTAGATAGAATTCACTAACAGAAGTGAATTTATGACAAATTGTTGAAGGCAGCCTTAATGAAAAGGAAATATATATTCCCATTATAGTAACACATACAAAAAGGAAGCAGAAATACAACTATTGTGAGCAGGAAATATTATAAACTCTGTCAATCTACAAGGAAATAAATAACCCCCTGAATCTATCCATAATCAGACTTAAAAAAATACTGGCATAAAATTTTCATGACTTATCTTTAAACTATAGGTCAGAAAATAATTATTGTGGAAAAGATCATTTCAATTGACTCTCAAAGTAGACGTGTTTTAGACATTAAAAAAAGACTTCCAAAACTTCTGCCTTGGCCAACGTGGAACAATAGAAACTAGTTTCACCTTTCACCTAAAACTACAAAAGCAAATAAGATACATGAAACAGCAGTTTTCAGACATTGGACATCAGGTTGCACACGACAGTGAAGCTGAACAGGGGGAAAACAAAGTGAACCCTATGATAGCCCCAGCCTATTGCCTGTAGAGAGTTTCCATGTCACAGGACAGAAATGAGAATCCTGGTGGGGCCTGGTGGTCTCCCTGAGTAAAGGAGAACTTTGGGTTTAGGAAGGCCAAAGTGACTAAGACCAAGTGAACCCTAAAAGTTCACTGTGCAATTTACTACAGAAGATAAGGGCAAACAGTGAACTCTAGATTTGAAGATGTCCCTTGAGACTTTAGCTGAAAGTATTGACCAGCAGATGTGTCAAACCAGGTAAGAACTACTAAAATAATTAACAGAACAATGCTCAGAGATGACACAGGTGTTCCCACCGGCCATAGGGGAAAAACATGAAAATGTATATGACATTATGGTAAGTATTTAGAAGAGTCCTATTCCTTAGTGAGCTGATTAAAGGCTGCTGTGATTCCACCTAACAAAGCTTAAAAGTAAGCCTGTCAAAAGGATGACACTGTTTCCAGGTAACTACATTCTAGAACAATGCCAAAAAATATTTACAGGAATTTTATTAAAAATCCAGAAACTCTGCATGGTAAAATTCACAATATCACTCACCTAATCCAAAATCACTAGACATGTAAAGAAGCAGAAAATATATGAACCAAAACAGGAGAAAAAGTAATCGATAGAAACAGATACAGAAATGACTCAAGTGCTAAAAGTAACAGAAAGCAGAGACTCTTAGCTTTTTAGCCCTTTAGGTACAAACAATGTTATCCTTCAATTGGAGTAAGGATGTTCCTATGCTCACTAATAGGGGAGGGGGAGGAAGAGAGGAGGAGGGAGGGGGAGGAAGGGAAAGCAGAAGAAGGGGAGAAAGGGAGGAGGGGGAGGGAGGGAGGGAGAAGGGAGGGGAAGGAGGGGGGAGGGAGGGAAGGGGAGGAAGAGGAGGGAAATGGGAGAAAGGGGGAGGGAGGGAGTGGGAGGAAGAGGAGGGAAACAGGGGAGAAAGGGGGAGGGAGGGAGTGGGAGGAAGAGGAGGGAAACAGGGGAGAAAGGGGGAGGGAGAGGGAGCAAAAGGAGAAGCCTTTTTCTCAATTATTGTGGTCATGGGATAGGGTAATGCTAAACATTTTCAGGCCTTTTATTTCTTAGAAGACTCACATTTCAGGTTTTCTCCTGGTCCACTTCTAGAGTTAGCCAGTGACCTAAAACTCAACACTCTCTAAGTATCAATTCAACAGGTTTTTCACCACTTAATCAGTAGAGTAAAAGTATTTTATGAAATGCTCTACATGTCTTTAGAAAATGAATGGGTTGCCCTTCCCCTGGTCAGTAAATACTCATTGATTAACCTACATCAGTAACTTTTCTTTAGTGCAGCAGTTCCCAGACTCTTTAGTCTCAGGCCCCACCGTGTACCCGTAAAGACTGAGGGTCGCAAATAACTTTGACTTATGTAAGTTATATCTGTCTACACTTATTCGATTCAAAATTAAAACCGAGAGTTTTTAAAAGGACAAAAATGCAAAGCACAAAGCACACACTCCGTTAGGACAAGGCTATCACCGCACATCCCATAACTTCTGGAAAACTCCACCATATCCTTGGAGAGAAGTAGAATGAAATACATTCTTGGTAATGTTATGAAAACTTGTGACCTCACCAACCCTGAGAGTCCCTGGACCACACTTTGAAAATGTTATTTTAACACATTTTAGATTGTTTGTTCCTCCTGATCATATTATGAAGTTCCATTAACAAAAATTCTTGTTTCCATTTTAATACTCATACTTGTCAAAGACTGAACAGAGTCCCTTCAATCTAGCTCTTTTGTTACAAACTAAACTATAGATGTCTTTGAAAGCAGCCTTACTCTCTTATAAAAACATAGTGTTTCAACTTCATCTGGATTCCTCAAGAAGTCCTGATTCCTTTAAGGAAAAATATATTAGAAATTAAAAGCTGAATAGTATGGCATTATATACAAAGGAAACCAAACTCAGTCACAGCAAATCATCAGTGATACACTTGCATCTGGTCAACTTATTACCAGTTATTTGCACCTGTTGAGCAAGTAGGCTTATGGCCAAGGTCCCCAGAACACTTGGAAGAGACCAGGGAGGTCTTACACCCTTCCTCTGCCCTCAAGAATAAAAGCAAGCAGGCTTACCAACGGTCATGAAAAATGCTCACACTGTGATGGACTACATGGAAAATAGTGTCCTATGAAGTTTAAGGAAGCTTGTTTTCCACACGGGGGTGTTGCTTGGCGTCTGCTTCACATTGGTGAATGCATATAGATAAAATGTATCATTTACCCACCTAACTTTGTGGGCTTGGTTATATTTGTGGGTGTTTTCTAAAAATCAGCTAGTGAAACAGCAAAACTGAGTATCTTTCCATTTCTCTTGTTTATTTTATTTTTTTTAGACAGAATCTTCTTATGTTTGCCCAGCCTAGAGTGGAGTGGCTATTCGCAGGCATGATCACGGTGCACTACAGCCCTGAATTCCTGGGCTCAAGTGATCCTCCTGTCTCAGTCTCCCTAGTAGCCGGGACTACAGGTATGCACCATTAGACCCACCTCATTTTTGAATTTTTTTTTAAGAGTTGCCTCTACACATGCTTTGCCTTATTCGACCTGGTTGTCTTTTTTCTTACCAATTCTTAAAGCCCTTCAAATAATCTTGAAATTAGTCCCTTATTATATACATTGCAAATCACTTCTTCTAGGCTAATTTTATAATATTAGTTATGATCTTGTACCACATATAAATTTAGAGTTTCTTCTTATGTAGTCAAACCTAAAACAATAAGAGCACGAAGGAAGGAAACCAGAGGGTGAGAGGGGACAAACAGCTACTGAGAGAAAGAAAAAACGAAAGCGATGAAATACACTCTTTTCACTTTTCATTGAAGTCCTGCACTTTAGTCCGAATTTCATGTTTGTGCTTTACTTTACTTAACAATTCAATGACTATTCCAAAGTAAAACATCTTGTAAAATGCAAATTTAAAGATACTAAACCAAGTGCCAACATCATACTCATTCCTGAAATCCAGAAGGATTTCCAAAAACAGCTCAAGAATACCTATTACCAATTACTCATACTATTCAATTATTCTAGACATCCTAGTCAATACATAAGGAAAGTGAAATAAAAGACAGTAATTGATGGTTAGGGGAAAAGAGGATATGAAACTATAACTATTTAAAGGTGTTATCACTTTTTTTTCTTTTGTAAAATCCAAAGTAATAAACTTAAAGCCATTAGGCCTAATTAAAAAATGCAGTGAGGAAGCTGGTTACAAATACGTCTACATCCAAGAAGAAGGCATAATGGAGTTAAAGAGATTTCCATATCAATTAGCATGTTATGTCTAGGAATAAACTTAGCAAAATGATTCTAGACTTGTGTGGGATAAAGAGCCATTCAAAATCTACTGAGAGACAATGAATTGAATAAGTGGAGACACAGGTTCCGAGATTACATATTTTCCATGCCAGTAATCTCTTTATTAAGAGCTACTTATAATAGAACTTCAATCAAAATCACATTTTTTTGTATAAGGAATGGACAAGGAATCTCATTAAATTATTTGAAAATTTTCTTGAAATAAATATATTACATTAAGAAAATGTTTTAAAAGAAATGAGGGAACCAGGCATGGTGGCTTATACCTCTAATCCCAGTACTTTGGGAGGCCGCAGATCACCTAAGTTCAGGAGTTCAAGATCAGCCAGGCCACCATGGCAAACTCCTGTCTCTACTAAAAAAAAATTACAAAAATTAGCCAGGTGTGGTGGTGCACACCTGTAACCCCAGTTACTCAAGCGGCTGAGGCAGGAGAATCGCTTGAACCCAGGAGGCGGAGGTTGCAGTGAGCTGAGATCTCACCACTGCACTCAAGCCTGGGTGACTGAGCAAAACTCCATCTCTAAACAAACAAACGAAAAGTAATGAGTAG